ACATGTCAATACAACATAAAACCAAATTAATCTTTCAGATCTTGGGATGTCTTCTTTTTGATTGGTAAATTGGGCCTTCATAATACTCATTCATCTAATTATGCATATTTTGATTGTGGAAGAGATTAAAGAGAGAGTTGGGGGAATAGTTTTTGAGTTGTTTTGTGTGCGTCCTTTGAGAGGGGGGGACGGCTCCGAATTGACATGACCCTGACCCTGACCCTGACCCACCCATGAAGCAAAAAGGTACAGTACTAAAATTTGGTGGCCTTCCTCATTTCTTTTCTTTTTTACTCTTTAATTAACCACAGTTTATGAGGGGTTTTGTATAAAGTGTGGTTGAATTATTTCGGTTTAAGACCTTCAAAATGTTTGTGGGTTTTTCGAGTTTTGAAGTTTTAACAACATATGGGAATGTTTTGGGATGAAGCTTTTTACAAAAGCATTTCAAAGTGCTGCTTGTAAAAGAAAATTTTGAAATTTGACTTTTGATATGATACCCAAATGCCCATTTAAGCTGTTTATGTTATATCTCCTTTGATATGGTGCATATATGTGATCTAAGTATTCCCATATATTCCTTCCCTATCGTCTCTCTCTTATTGAGTTATGTGTATATGTAAATAGAAGTAGAAGCTTGTCATTTAGAAGTGTCGTCCATTTATTTGGCTGTCATTAATTACTTGATTATAAATGTTCTTCTATTACGACAAATGTAGGGTATTTGAACTTTCAACTTTAAGAAGAGAAATAGATGTTTGCTGACTGTAATGACCAGCAAATTAGATTAAAAATCAATATCTTAAAACTTTAAAGTAAACTATTCCGTGGCCATCTTTAAATTGAAGAGTAAAATAGTGACGTAGCATTTTAAGAAGATGTTATTTCTATGTGAACTAATATTTTCTTAGATATTACTTATCGATAAATTTTTATCGGGTCATATTTCATTAAAAGCTCACTTGGTGGAGTATTATTATATGACACCCTATATTTCACTTAATTAAAAAGAAAAGAAATGTGGATAAAGTTTTGTCAAAGGAATCTGTCATGTCATATGCTATTGTTATTCACTTTTTTAAAGTTTTATTTCAAAAATTTTGTTTGAGAATTTTAAATACTAAAGACGAGATTGAAAAGTGAGGTAGAAATATGAATTCAAATTTCACCCAAGGGATACCATGAGCCTTACCGAAAGATTCAAAACCATTATAAGATATGATTTTATTTCTTAGTATAAAATGAACATTAATACTTCACTGAATTTGTATAATATATATTAAGTACTATGAAGATATACATATTAGAATATTATTTTATAAAGATATTCCTACCACCTAAAGAAAAAGTGTAATCGTTTTTCGATAGCTTCTTTTGTTTTCCCTTTTTTTTTTTTAGTATCGATATTTTGTGTAATGAAAAAATAAAATAACTTATTTCTTTCTAAAATCTTGATGTACAACATGTCGTGCTTTTAAAAATATACACAAAACTTAAATTGTATTTTTCAGAAAAAGAAGATAAATCATTAATAAAAACAAAATATTGAGAGGTGAATATATACTATTATTTGGGAACCATAGATGTTATTTCCTATTAATTATTTGATAATAATTTCCACCCATTTTCTATATGGAAAATCCTTGGTTCCTTGATAGGAAGGAACAAATTTTGTCCTTGCCCGTTGAAAATTGACAAATTAAATTTTATAAAAAGTCACTAAGTTTGCATTTCTCTCCTTAGTTGTGAAATATTTAAGGGTGGCAAGGACAAAATTCATGTTACGATTAAGAAGCTAAGTATTTTCCTTCTTTATTTCTCATTTTGTTCTCTTACTCTTTCACTCTCGAGTAGGAAACAACGATGCCTGGGTGATCTTTGTTCATCGTCATAAAAGATCTTTGAAAAATAACTTTCTTACCTTTAATCGTCGTCTCATGTCGGAGAATAAATATTTGAAAAGTCTCCCAAATTAGGCAAGGACGGTAGTAGCATGCATTGAAATTTTAAAAAAATAATATTTTCTCCAACTCCAAAATGAAATTTGTTCTCGACATCGAGAGTCTCTTTGAATAACGAACAAGGGTTATGTTAAGTATATAAGAAATAGGAGTACTATATGTTGATTATCTAAACCTAGCATTAGAATATAGTGAAAAAGAAAGCAAAATGGGGGATATAAAGACTATAGGAGTTTGACTAATGGAAAATATAAAAATGACACAGAGATATAAAAGTGTTATGATGATAGTTTGTAGATACAAATAAAGAAATTAATTGGTAGTTGTGTTTGGTTAGAAAGAAATGACATCCCATCGAGAGAGTAGAGAAAAAGAAAGAAGCTGAAGAAAGGGGTTTTGCTTTAGTTGGAAGGAATGATATATGGTTCACACCAACTCCGCTATATGCTATGTGTGTTGTGTGTATGTGGGACTCTTGCTCTTCGGCCATTAACTTTCCCATTTTTGGTCCTTTCTTCTCTCTCTCTCTCTCTCTCATCTATTATCATATCAGGTTGTTGCCTTACCAATACCAATTTTCAACGTCTCTCTCTCTTCATCTCGACAATCATCCATTTTAGCTTTCATAGTTTGATTGTGGTTATAATGCAATGAAACCCTAGCTACTATGACTACGTCCAGTCCAGTTTTCACCTATGTACGAATTCTACCATGATTTGACAATAATGCAGCATACAAATCTCTCAATACTCTCTCTAGATTGGAATGAAAAGCTTCACCAATACTCACCAAAACAAGTTGCCGACAACGTACTACAATCCTAGAACTCTGTCCCTTCTGCTATGCTAATACACGGCCGTTGCACGCTCTATTTTGTGCCTCTTAGTCGTCATGAATTCTATGTTCGTGGAACAACACAACACACAAAACCTAAGCTAAAAGGTCTATAAAGAACTATGCGCTATAGCGTTGAGAAGCTAACAATAACATCTCAACGCTACGACTTGATAGCGTGAACGCCTGCACGCCTCTCCACGTTTTCTTCTTACTTGCGATAGCGTTGAGACGTTCTGCATAGCATCTCAACACTGTTCTCTCGACCAAGGAGCCATGTAGCAAATCTTCCTTCTATTCTGATTCCATGATCCCAACGATAATTTGGTTAAACTTGACCAATTATATTCATAAGTAATATCACGTAAAAAGAGGTGAAAACTATAGATACTAAATTGGATTGGAGGTAAAAAAAAATTTTTAAGAAAAAGGTCCAAGGAATAATGTAATGACGTATTTCGTGATTGAAAGAAAAAAGGGAATTGGTAATTCCAAGGGTGTCGGATGAATTAATATGTGATGTGATTTAATGACGGCCAGGCGAATGGTATATCATCGGAGAAAAAGTCTGTCAATCTTTCAACTTTCAAGTTCCGCCATCTCCGTGGCTTGGGAGTGCGTGACTTCCTCTTCAACTTATTTGCTTCAGACCTCTCACTGCATATCAACCAACTCAAAACTTCTCGTTCTTCTCACACTTTCAACTTATCCTCTTCTTGCTGGGCTTTGCTTATTTGGCCCATTTTCACCTTTAATGGGCCGCACTATGGCCCGCCTATCCCATCAATCTTTCTTTTCTTTTTTCTTTTTACAGAGAAATTCGGCTTTGCTGTTTAATTGATTATCAATTTTTGTTTGTTTGTTTGTTTATAAGAAGAAAGAGATGATTTACTATTGAACTCAAACTACGAGTGGTAATAGTCTTGAGTTGGTTATCACATGATATACTTCCGCTTAATTGTTCATCTGAAGCTACAATTGAGAGGTAATTGCCTTCTTCAACTACAGTTTAGAGTTAGTAAGGAGTTGTTGATCTACTCAATTATATTGTCTTTTCTATTATTTATTATACTAATTGTTCACGCTTCTAATCTATATAGCTTTGTATTAGTGAAGCCTTCTTCCAATAAAAAAATTCTACTATTTTGAGAACACTTTTAGTTATCCATGTCCGCTTATTTTCAAATTCATCAATAGGAGATCTTATTCATAATTACAATCAAATTGTAATTTAATTTTCGTTAAAAAGAAACAACAATTATTAGTTTGCTATGAGTTAACATTTTGCCCTTGTTTTTCTCTCTAGTGTTGCATTGCATGAGCTAAAAAAAATGGATTGTTTTCTCTATTTCTGTTAGTACTTTAGATTTCAGAAACAAAACAACATTGAGAATATAGCTTAAAGTATATACTTTCAATTACAAGATGATGATTTGAAAGATCTATATGGAGCAACAAAAAATTAGGGAAATTTTAAATAAGCATATGTATTATTTACAAAATATATGTACCTACCTTCCTTTGGAAAAAAAATATATGTAACTTGTAACTCAAGTCCAAAAATTCTTAGTGGGGTGTGTCATGGCGAGAATAGGAGTTCAATATTTGAATAACGGAAGTAGCCACTCTTTAGTGGATTGTTATATTTCGTCAGCTTGTAAATTGGTTTCTTCCTCGGTGTTGGTCAAACAAGTCATCGAAATTTTCCAACCGGTGTCCTGACATCTTGCAACATCCTAACCCCTAGCACCCCATATTAAACAAACTATACTATAAATTATATTAATTTATATTTGAATAATTAATGACTTTATATGCACGGTATAATATATAAGAAAAAAAAGGTGGGCCATCTCCAAGTTGGGGTTGGGTGGGTGTGGGAGCGTTTGAATCGGAACCACATGTTTCTTTCCCGCCAAAATTAATGGTGGGATGAATTGTAATGCATTCGATATGTGGAGCCCTTGGGAGATTTTAAATCGGGCTTCGACAGTGGGCTTAGAAGTTGCTTTCTGGGCCGGATCAGATCATGATCCAATCCGGTCCAAATTCAAGTTAACGAGGTACAAACCCTACCCGCCAGCTAAGGGAGGGAGATCTTGGTTTTTTTTTTTAATATTTATTTTTACACACATGACCGTTGCAATGCAGAACTTTCCAAACAAGCCAGAAATTTTGAAAAAAAACGCTCCTTTTGTGTTTCTCCTTTATATTTCAGCCCGCTTCTTGACCGTTACCTCTTCGCCAGTGACCAGTGATCGGCAAAGAAGAGAGAAAGAAACAGAGAGGACTTGTATCAGTTTTCTCTGTTGCATTGATTTGATATTTTTATTCTTGTGCGAGATCCGGAAAGCGATTTTCTTTCTCAGATTTGAAGAAGAAAGAAGAATAGGATCATATGGATTCACCTCAAACAAAAAGTGGGCTCAATCTCCCAGCTGGAATGACCCAAAGGTCGCTTCGGCTCGAGACGTTTTCGGGTTCTTTTCGGGCGATATCGAGCCTCTCCTCGCCTTCCAAAACCTCTACTTGCAGCGACAGATTCATTCCCTGTAGATCCTCTTCCAGGCTGCACACATTTGGGCTGAATGAAAAGGCTTCCCCTGTGAAGGAAGGGGCTAACGAGGCGTATTCCAGGTTGTTGAAATCCGAGCTTTTTGGGTCTGATTTTGCTTCTTTTTCTCCTGCTGCAGGTTCCCAAGGCCAAGGCTCCCCAATGAGTAGTCCCAGCAAGAACATGCTCAGGTTCAAGACCGATCACTCCGCCCCTAATTCTCCTTATTCCCCTTCCATTTTCAGCCAAGATCCCGCTTTTCCTTCCGAAATCTCGACCCCTCCGAAGCCGCCTCGGAAAGTCCCCAAGACCCCACATAAGGTCTCTTCTCTCTTCTCAATTCTAACCTTCTCGTCTTGAACTCTGTTTCCTGTGTGTGTAGTCAGCTGAGTCCTTGATTCTGTTATTGCAGGTTCTTGATGCTCCCTCGCTTCAAGATGACTTCTACTTGAATCTTGTAGATTGGTCCTCACAGAATGTGTTGGCCGTGGGACTTGGAACTTGCGTTTACTTATGGAGTGCATCAAACTGCAAGGTAAATTCTCTACCACCAATTTACCAAACACCTCATTGATCAACTCCTATTCGAATTCAAACAAATGGGTGTGTGTGTTTATCCCATTTTCAGGTCACTAAGTTATGCGATTTGGGACCCAATGATGGTGTGTGCTCAGTTCAATGGACCAGAGAGGGTTCCTACATATCGATTGGTACAAATCTTGGCCAAGTCCAGGTAACACAATACAATAGAACATAAAGATTGGAAATTGAGTTCATGTTTCAGTTCTAAAATGTTTGTTTCCTTTTCTTTTTCTGTTGTTGTATGTGATTAATAGATATGGGATGGGAGTCAGTGCAAGAAAGTTAGAACCATGGGAGGGCATCAAACAAGAACAGGAGTGTTGGCATGGAATTCTAGGATATTAGCATCTGGAAGCAGAGACCGTAATATTCTTCAACATGACCTACGCGTTTCTAGTGAGTTTGTGAACAAGCTCGTAGGCCATAAATCTGAGGTGGGAACTTAATAACTGAGGCTAAATCACAGTTACCTTTGTAACAACGTTAAAAGCTTATGGATTCTTTTAAATCAATCCCCTGTGTAGGTATGTGGGTTAAAATGGTCAAACGATGACAGAGAGCTGGCCTCCGGTGGAAATGACAATCAGGTAGATATAGATATGATATCCATCCTGCAAAGAAAAGCCTCTTCCTTTGCGAACATTTAATAACAAAGCTTTTGTTGTGGTATCAACAGCTGTTGGTATGGAACCAGCATTCGCAGCAGCCTGTTTTGAGACTGACGGAGCACACGGCTGCAGTTAAGGCGATCGCCTGGTCGCCGCACCAGAGTGGCCTTCTTGCATCCGGTGGGGGAACTGCGGACCGATGCATTCGATTCTGGAATACTGCAAATGGCCACCAGTTGGAGTCTGTCGACACTGGAAGCCAGGTTTTGATTGCTTATGCTGCTTGTAAAGAACTGATATGATGGGAGCTGTTTCCCTCAGCTAAAACTTGATGAATTTTGTCAAATTCTTTCTCAGGTTTGCAATCTGGCATGGAGTAAAAACGTAAATGAACTTGTGAGCACGCATGGGTATTCCCAGAACCAGATTATGGTGTGGAAGTATCCATCAATGGGGAAGGTTGCTACTCTAACTGGACACACGATGAGGGTGTTGTACCTTGCAATGTCACCCGATGGCCAGGTATTTGTTCAAGTGTAATTAATTATCATAATATCCTCTTTCCCATAAGCAATTTCCTCTTTGAGAGTCTTATAAATGGCTTCTTGCAGACAATTGTAACAGGTGCTGGAGATGAAACTCTTCGGTTCTGGAATATCTTCCCATCAATGAAAACACAGGTAAAAAGGGGGTGACAGCAAAACAACCATCATCTTTCCAGAAAAATACTCTTCAGATTTTCCCTTCCCTTAATTTGCCTTAAGATTTAACGCTAACTTTGTTTTTCCAGACACCAGTCAGAGATACGGGCCTTTGGTCGCTCGGGCGAACCCAGATTCGGTGATGAATGCCTCACATCATCACATAGGGAAGCCAATTTTATTCATTCGTTTGTAAATGCAGTTTGATCCTGGCTCTGGAATTTCCACACAATTTTATTCAAAGAGTAACAGTGCGGTTGAACAATGAACAGTGAAGAGTATTCTCTCTGATTTGTAGAGAGTATGATATTGTTTGTATTCTGATTGTAAAGTATATGAATAAGAGTGTTCTTTTTTGGTTCTTGGTTCACACAATTTCAATGGAAGTCGTACTTCTATATTCATGGATTTAGATCTGAAAAGAACAAGTTAATAACAAGTAATCTAATGGCAGCCAAGTCTACTAAACAAATCTCATAAGTTAAATATGCGTTCTTATGACAATTAATAGCAAAAAGGTACCACTACGTCACTCAACAATCAACATAGTGATTTGAATCTTGATCGGATCCAAGCTTACAAAGCTCGATTCGATGTTGCCAGGGAACTCTGCTTCAGTCTGAAGGCTACCTTTTTGACTTGCTACATTTGGGTCTCTGGAGTAGGCTGAGGATTTAAGTTCTCATCCCAAATTTTGAAATTCTATTTTCTTGCCTGCAAGCTTTGACATATCAAATAAATCTCTCTTGACGACGATCTAGTAGCCTTGGGCCTCAACCAGGATGCCTTTCTGAACAGCGGTTTCAACATTCGGCTGAATTCTGGGGTAAATAATAAAGGAAGAAAGTAAGGATAATCCAAACATACATATCCTACATTAAAGTTTATGTGGAAATAATACTCTACCTTGGGTATCTTCACTCTCCAAAAGTTTTACGACGAGGTGGCCTCCTCTTTGTAGCAGACCATCATAATCTACAACTGAGGTTGAATCATCCACGCTGTCCTTTCCATGCATAACATCATCTCCAGAGCCTAATGCAGCTTCCCCAATAGCCAAATTAACTGCTTGCATCCCCAATTCAACTGATAAAGTCGCATCTCTAGTGGTGATTCCAGATACTGAGGGGCACATGTCGGAGAGTATTACAGAAAATCCTCTCTCCTGCAAGACCAATCAATAGACAATGTAACTTCTATTCTGTAACTTGCAAGATTTTCTTGCTCAATTACTGCACCTTCCCTCCGCACTCCTCGGGGGCAGGATTGCCGATAATATGTTTATGTTTTTACAGATATCAGACCATCAAAACCAAACCATTGCACGAATCTGGCAGTTCTATTCAATGCTATTGATATGGTTTATGCTAAAACCCGGATTAGGCAATTGAGTTTTTGAGTGATATGAGTAACATCATTCGAAGAGACTAGATGAAAAAAAAAATTCTTGAGAATACAACAGAAGAAATGTGAGGATATGCATTTGAAACTACATGACCAGTTGAGCTTATAGCATAGGTAAAAGTAAAATTATAAAACATTTCATACTTTTGATAAGTAAGCTAAGTTACCTTAGGAGACAGTGCCTTCAATTTGTTTCTGGGAAGGTTCATAACATCAGCAGAAACAGTTTGAACCCTTGAGTCACAATGCACATGAGGAACTTTTACCTTCTGTTCTGCAAGATCCACATTTCTTTTACGCATTATTACTATCTGAAAAAAAATGAGTTTCAGCAGAATGACAACCCAGTAAGAGATAACAGATCACCTTGAGATCAATACCCAAGACCGAGCCTCCATTCTTCAGAGGGCCCAGACTCTGGCAAGCCACCTGAAAGCAAGTGACGTAAATCATACTTCCCAACAAAAACAAATAAATAAAGAAGTAAAAGTTTGCGGAATGGATTTGAAAGCTGCAATATTGAGACCTGAAGCCAGGCACCGGGAGCACAACCAAGGTCCAAAACGGAGGAGCCAGAAGTTATCAATTTGAACTGCTTCTGAATCTGAAGCAGCTGTTATCAGCAGAAGACGAAATACATACACAGTTGATTTTGATTGGTGAGGGCGGAAGGTTACGAAGGAGGAAGAACAGAAGACGATGAGGGGAAGTAGGTTTTACCTTGAAGGCGGATCGTGCGACATAGCCAAGGCGCTGAGCCTCTCTGTAGAAGAAATCGGGTGTTCCTGCTCCACTCATTTCTTTCTTCCAAATGCTTCTAGGGTTTCAAATAACTTCAAAGACCAACGCCGTTGCCTATATTCGAACTTCCGTCGCATGAGCCTTTACGACGACGAGGGGATTCAGAATCAGAATTTTAGATTAATTTGGCCATCCTTCTTTTTATTTATTTTTTTWTTTTTTTTTTTTTTTTCTGTCATTGCTCTTTGATAATTTTGAGTATAATATGTGAGAGCGGAAATTCGAACTCATGATTTTTTGGTGAGAGATAAGTGTTTTAACCACTTGAACTTAGTTTGACATAAGCAACTGTTAATACATGAGAATACTAACTAACTGTTAATACATGTCAAAGCGAGCATAGTTCAGCGATAATTAAAATATGTCTCCAACCAAGAGACTGTGAGTTCGAATCTCCTCCCCAACATATTGTACTAAGAAAAAAAACTGTTAATACATGATTAGTATCTAACTAATCCTAGCAATTGCTAATTAACAAGTACTTTACTCAATATCAAAAAAAAAAAAAAAAGTTCTTTACTCCATGTTATATTTATAATTTTTTTTGGTTATTTTTGTAATATTTTATATTAACTATGATAGATATATAGCAATAAAACCTGCACCCCACACCTGCCAAAAAAACACTGTAATACTTGAGCATAAAACCTACTTCAAAACCACGCCCTACATAGAGTTTATAATTCTGCAGGGTGGGAAGTTTCAATTTTTATGCAAAATTCAAACTTGCTTGACAGAGTTCAGGAGGGGGAAAAAAAAACCTAGTCAAAATCAAAACATTATATTACTTTTTCTTCCATTTTTTTTAGTTGAGTGTAGATTAAATTTAAACTTCTAAGTGTCCTGCCGACATTAATGCATCTTATTTGTAGGTTAGAAACTTCACCATTTTATTTATATTGTAATACTCTAAAAAAATCATTATATACTAGATATACATGAAAGTATAAAATATTTTTTTTGGTTAAAGTACTATTTTGGTCTATGTTTTTTCAGCTTTTGTTCATTTTGGTATCTCTACTTTTAAAATGTTTATTTTGTCTTTATATTTTCAACTTTGGTTCATTTTAATCTCTATACTTTCAAAATGTTTCGTTTTGGTTCATGGACTTTTAAAAAGTAATAATTTTGGTCTCTATTTTTAAAATTTCAACACGATGAGGGAAACAGTCCAGATCACCAGCTAAGACCCCTAAACGACCGCTCAATGATAAATGAGGTAGGAGTCCAGAGGTAGCCAGGAGGTTAAAGATGAACGGGGCTAAGCGATYTGCCGATACTGTGGGATGTGAAAATGTATCGATAGGGAAGCGTTCCGCCTTAGAGGGAAGCACCCAAGAGAGTGGTGGTGGACGAAGCGGAAGCGAGAACGTCGACTTGAAGTAACACAAAAATTGATGAGAATCCAATGCCCCAAAAACCTAAGGGTTCCTTCGTAAGGTTCACCCTATATATATAATGGAACTCATTAATATAAAATAATTGTTACACTTCCAGAAATATATTGAATATATTGTCGTGTTGAAATCATGATTAAAAAAATGAGATTGAAAATAAAATAGAAAGATGAAAATAGTCCCTTTTTAAGGGTTAAGATTCGTTCAAAAGGGGTGTGAACTTAAAACCCAATCCAACAAGATTACGTTTTCAATATATTATTGTTTGAACAAACACTACATAATCAAGAAACCAACCTCTTACATACATGTTTACAAATACATATTTGGGTTGAAGTATTAAAAGTGTGATCATGTTAAATTAAAATGGTAAATCTCTAACTAGATCTAATCAAAATAAGTTTGTTTACATGAATTTCCATTATTACTTAACGTTGAAATTAATTAGAGTTAGTAATCAAATCTTTAAAAAAAAATAGTCCCAATGAAACAAGTTTGGTATGATAATGATATCATGATTTCATGCTTCATCATAGGATATATCTTGAATGATGTATAAGGTAGTTAGATAATTAATATGGTGGTTAGCCTTAATCAAGTCTGCTTCAAGGGCGAGCGAGAAATGACTAATGATTTGAGTTTAATACATAGCGGGGAAGCAAGCAACCTCCAATTATATCCAAAGATATTTGATCATATATATACTTTTGCTTCTTTGTGACACTTGAGTCTAGAGATTCATACAATTATTCCAACTAGATAGACACTCCATCTCTAAATATATATATTCACACCTCCAATCAATTAGATTTCTTTTAGGGGAATATTATCATAAAAATAGTAACAACTATATATGGAGGGATTGATTGAGTGTATGCATCATACCTCTATCTAGGACAATGTATATCTCTAAAATTAATATTTGAAATCTTTAACAAACTTCAAAAGTAAGAATAAATACATTAACATTTATTGAAAATCAAATTGCGTATTTGAAATCTTTAATAAACTTCAAGAATAAAAATAGATACATTAACATACATTTTACTGGGTCTCAAATTTCGTATTGCTACACTTACATTGCCCACGATATTGAAATTTGTAAATTATATCTCTCCTTTATTTTTTATCAAATATTTAGTTAATAAGTGACCTCAAATATATTCTAACCCGCACATCTTCTTTATTTACTATTTATTCAAGATGTAGTATTAACTAGCTCAATTTCTCAAGATTTAACCAAATATCGGTTTACTTATTATTTATTTACTATTTATTCAATATGTAGTACCGATTAGCTCAATCCCTCAAGATTTAACCAAATATGGTTTTACTTATTTGAGGAAAATTTTGAAATTGAATATGGGACCGGGTAATAGAGTAAAAAGAATTTAATTTAGGTTGAGAAAGTTTAGGTTTGGGATGGCAAATAATAATATAATTCACATAGTCACATGCAAGGGAGAGGTTTAATGGAAGTCAAACAAAGAGGTCGGTGAATTGTCGTTGGGAAGTCAAACCAAAGCTCTAACCTGATGACGTGGATGATTTAGTAGATCTGGTTGGTGGATGGATTAAACACTCTGCCACGTCACTTCCCAATCCTTAATGCAAAACCAGTAAAGCGCACCGTCTTGTGCCGTCCCAACTGTTTCCAATTCAACTCCCCGTTACGTTATCCTCCTTTCTTCTTAATACTTCTAATTTTCATTATTTTTCTTTTTCTGCAACGTATTTCTATTTTTATACACAAATTTCCACGCTCTCCCTCTCTCCTGTGACTATATTTAATAGGTACTGCAACTCTGCAATGATTAAACTTTATATATCTTCCAAAACATATTTGGTATTACATTAATTCATATATATGATTAATTAATTAATTAATTAATTAATATCCCAATATTGTAAAAGCCTTCCACATGAAGCTCGAACTAGAATAATTACCGCACCTTGTAAATCAAGTTAAAGTCATTAATTCTTTTTTTTTTTTAACTCCTCTTTCTTCCACTCCTATAAATAGCCCTTCACCCTCTTCGTCTTCCTCAATTCCTCAATCTTTCATTCGAAAGTTAAAATCTTTGTGCTCCAACAGCGAGGTGGGCAATGGCGGCAACTATTTCAAGAAATTCAGTGATATTATTGTCTGTGTTGGTAATTATAATGTCGTTAGTTGTGGAAGGCAGAGTTGCGGGAAGTTTCAGCAGTGGGCCGTGGCAGAGCGCCCACGCCACATTCTACGGTGGCAGTGACGCCTCTGGCACTATGGGTATATTAAAATATTTTATTTTTAAATCTCTTTTCAGAAACATTGATAATAATATATTGGATTTATGAGGATTTTGACTGGAAATTGACAGGTGGGGCGTGCGGTTATGGGAATCTGTACAGCCAGGGGTACGGCGTGAACACGGCGGCGCTGAGTACGGCCCTGTTTAACGACGGCGTCAGCTGCGGGGCGTGCTTTGAGATCAAGTGTGTGAACGACCCGCAATGGTGCCACGCTGGTAACCCCTCCATCTTTGTGACGGCAACCAATTTTTGTCCGCCGAATTACGCTCTGCCCAATGACAATGGCGGCTGGTGCAACCCTCCCCGCCCTCATTTTGACCTTTCCATGCCCATGTTCCTCAAGATAGCCGAGTATCGCGCCGGAATCGTCCCAGTCTCATTTCGTCGGTACGTTACAGTTCACCACTCAACTGATTAACATATCTATCTAATTAAAAAAAATTAACTTATTTATGATTTTGGTATCGCAGCGTGGCGTGCCGGAAGGAGGGAGGGATGAGGTTCACGATCAACGGGTTCAAATACTTCAACTTGGTTTTGATCAGCAACGTGGCGGGTGCAGGGGATATCGTGAGCGCGAGCATAAAGGGGGCGAATACAGGGTGGATGAGGATGACACGTAATTGGGGTCAAAACTGGCAGTCAAACGCCGTTTTGGTGGGCCAGTCCCTGTCCTTCTCCGTCAAAGCAAGCGACGGCCGGACTTCCACTTCATGGAACATCGTCCCTTCTGATTGGCAGTTCGGTCAAACTTTCGCCGGCACTAATTTCAGATTCTAACCATCTCATCTACCTTTCAATATTAAGTTAATTATAATGGTCATCAACAATGTTATATATATATATATATATCATAATTACCAAATATTATATATATTTTAAAGTATGAGTGTTGCTTGTGACAATATCGTGACAATATTTACATTTATGTAAAAAGAATTGCTACAAATAAAATAGAAATAGTCATATGGATTATGGGCCTGTTTTATTAACCAGAAGGTTCAAACTTTTGGAACATTCACTATCTCAAAAAATCACTGCAATTACTTAGCGAGTGCAATTTTAGCCTCAAGCGTTCATTATTAAATTGTCTACACAAATGTCAACTTTTTTAAGATACTTTTTAAATATGTGACCCTGGCCTAAGATATCTCTAAATTTGTTTTGTAATATTATAAAATAAGAAAAAATAGATAACATTTTTTTAACATTTTATTATTTATCCGATGATTTTTTTTTTGCTCAATTTTATAAAACTAAAAATATAAGGATAAAACTTACAAAAACATTGATCCCATCCAATGTAACGATATTATAAAATTTTAATTAACTAATTAAAATCAAAATTAAACATTATTAAAAAAACTAGTTTAAAACGTTTGGTTGTGATATTTGAACTTAGTTTATATTTGGTTCGTGAATTTAAAAATTCATCACTTCTGTCCTTGAAATTTGAATTTAGTTTCAATTAGACTCTTACCAAAAGTGACATATTTGATGAAGTTTTAATGTAATTTATAATTCGAACTCAATGATATTTTTCATTCTCTTTTGCACAAATAACAAAGTATAGTTAATATTTTTTCAAGCAAAAAAAACGAAATATAATTAATACATGTCAACAGTACTATCATTTTGAATGGTTGACTCAATTTTGATATAAATTATAGATTAGAAATTAAATTCCAATTTCATGAATCTTTAGAAATCAAATTCTTAGGAAGTAATTAAAAACTAAATTTAGACTTAAAATGGAACAAATATTATTTTGAAACTTAAAATTAAATTTAAAGTCTTTTTTTTAATAACTCAGTGAGCCGAAGCAAGTAAAAATCCGGGGATGAAAAATGTAGTTTAGCCGACCTTTATTAAGCGGGATGAATTTTCGGAAACTCATTATATATATTATGCGTCCCTCCCCCGCGCCATCGGTATTTCCCCTTCTCTTGCAGAGCTTTCCCGTCGATTCGGCTCTCGCCGGCGCCGATTATCTAAAGATCGGAAGGGTTTTTTCTATTTGGTACGAGGGCTGTTGAAGGCTCATACCACTGCGATAGAATACTTCACACTAAACACAACCTTCGAGCGTGGAAGGTAATCAATTATTGTCTTCAAATTTAATCAATACCATGAATTGAATGAATTTTTGTTTCATAGACCCATTTGTGTCCTGATTTGACGACCCAAAAGGTACTATTTTTCACAACACCCGTCTATACGTTTTCAGCTTTTTCGAAGATTAGATTAAAAAAGGTTCAGAACACAGGATTTCATTAAATGAAAAATTGAATCCCGTCATGCAATTTCGGAGAGACTCTGCATCCACGAGGCTAAGGTGAAGATCGAGGGAGTTCTTCTTCTGATACCAGATTGTGCATTTGAGTGAACACTGAAGCTCGAGGGCTGGTGGAGGCTTCTTATGAGACCAGACGTGAAAGCTGACACCAGAAAGTAGTGAAGAGACAGGTATTTTTCTTCTCATGCCATCGCGTAAGGATATTTTGCTCGATAATCGATATGTGCTTTATTTTTCTCTCCTTTTCTTATTACGTATGGGTTTTGTTAAATCTGAGTCATTGATCGTTAGATACGAAGAGTTTGATTAGAGTTAAATCTCTTTCACTGCCCTTGGAGTTATGAACATTCCAACTTTTTGATTGGTGGCTGTTGCTAATTGGGATGTTTATTGGTTGGACTGTTTACTTTGTTGTTTCTCTTAGGAGCGATATTGTATTATTGGTGTGTTCCACCTTTAAGTTTATGTGTGTTGAAATTTTTGGGTCATATTCCTTCTCAAACTATCGCCATATCTTATGATGAATGGAAGTTGTTCTCTAAAGAAGTCGTTAAAGTACTGCAACATTATCTTTTTTTTTTTTTTGGCCATTCTTATGCGCCTGGTTTCATTTATGATAGTTGTTCTTTGTGCTTCAGTTTTATTGATTTAGACTGAAGTTATGGAGGAGCAGTTTGTACTCAGGGTTCCACCTTCTGTTGCTGAGCGAATTGAACGTTTACTAAATGAAAATGCTTCTTCATCTGAAGATGGCTCATTGGATTTGTCATTCTCTGGTAAAATAACTTATCCAATTATATTATGATGCTGTCTTCCTGATCTATGCACTTTCCATTACATTTGCGGTGATGTTGTATGAATGGAAGATCTTTTAGGCTCTTGGACAGATTGGCTTTATAGGCTCTTAAAGAAGCAAAAGTAATTTCTCATACAAAGCACACTTTTTTTTTTAACGTTGACATTTTATTAATCGCCTGTATGTGCTTCCTAGACTATTTTCTGCACATAGTTGATCTCTCTCTTGACATTTCCCTGACCTGTTTGTGCTTTTTTATGTTCTGGAGGAGATTTGAAATGTGAACCTCTGTACTTCTTTTCTCAAGGAAGCATTTTCATTATACTTTGGTATAGTTATGTATGTTAGTTATTGTGAATGGATTTCTATCTGGCCTCTTAAATAAGCCAAATATTTGTTTGCTGCAAGTATTTTCTGGAAAATAAATTTTGGAAGTAATATCTGAAAATAGAAAGAGATTTGGAAAGAGATCAAAGTGTGCATTATGGTTTTGTTTTTATTTTTGGCTTGGTTTATTGTCTATTTACGGTTCCTTAAATTGTCATCCAGAGGATGGGAGAAGTGGCACTTTTGCCATTGGTGATGATCACTTTCCAGCATCTCTTCTGGATCTTCCCTGTGTGGTGGAATCATATAAAACTTACGATGATACTGTGCTAATCAAAGCTGCAGACATTGGCCAGGTAAAATGGTTTCAAATTAACATCATTAGCACAGGCATTTAGAAAGACATGATCGCTCCATTTCTAATGTTTTATGGGATGATCTCATTTCCAACAGATGATTATGGTTAGAGAACCAAGTGACCCTGCTCCAGAATCAACTGAGTATAGACATGGTCTGACCCCTCCTATGAGGGATGCCCGAAAACGTAGATTCCGAAGAGAGCCAGATTTAAATGTATGATCTTCTTATCTCTCTTACTATCCTGGATGTAGGATTTTTTTGTGAGTGGAAATAAATTGCTGTACTGAAATTATAATTCATTGAGATTTCTACTTCTATACAATGAGTAGGTAGTTGGGAGATAAATTATTGAAGGATGCTAGTACAATCTACAATATAGTTTGTGCTACATATGCGCATCGTATATAGAATAAGTTGACATTAATTTCTTTATCTTATTGGTCAACAACAATATCTTAAGCTCTTTTCAATACCAACCTCATTCAATAGTTTCTCAATACTCGAAATATCTTTTCAAGAAGTAGTCAGTCATATCCTTGCATTCGTTGAGCACTACAAAATTTGTTGCATTTACTAAATGCCTTCTGACTCTTACATACTGATTCTTTTTCCTGTTTTTTCTTTCTCTTTTTGGCAGCCTGAGCTTGTACGACGTGTGGAGAAAGACTTACTGAACATCATGGCAGGAGGAGCTACCGAAAATGTGGATATCCTTAATAATTTTTCAGTTTCATTTGTGTTTTAAAGTCATTACCATGTTAAGTTATGAAACATGTACCCATCCCCATTCCAACCTGCACCAGGAGCTAATAATTATGGCTGATTGAGAATCATTTTAATTAGCAGTCACAAAATTCTTGATTGAAAGACGTATGGCAACAGGAAAATGACAATTGCTAGTTGAGGCAATTGTCTTGTTTTTGACATGAGTTATGATGTGGTGCAATTAAACTTGAAAAGTTCCTTGACTGAGCATTCTCACATGTTGGAGTGGCTGAGCAACAGAATGATAGAGATAATCATGCAAGTGCAAAGCCTGCATCCGCACCTGCAACAAAGCCTGATGTGATGGAAACTGAAACAAATGTTGGAGAGCCTGAAAGAAGTGACTCTGATGACACTGATCATTCTATTGATTAGGTATTATATTATGTAGTTCATGTGCAGTCTCTCTGTGTATCAAAGAATATGAGGAACTATTGTCTGTAATCCAATCCAAATCTTTGGTGATGATATCAAATTGATGAATCATTTCTTGTGTCTAGAAACACCGGAGGATTTATATAGTACATTTTTCGACTTTAGTACTGCAATGATTGAACAGATTAGGAGAACTGGAACATTCACAGGTTTGATTTGGTCGAATTTTGTCCAATCGAAATTGAACCTACTTTTTTTCATTCTATGAATTACAATCAAATTTAAACATCATTAAGTTAGAATTTGGTTTCAGTTGGATTTTGGCTTTTGCTTAAAAGTAAAGACTCTGGCTCAAACCTGCAATTGAAGCAGCCTTCATAATCAAATTTCATAACGAGGCAGCATAATTTCTACCGAATCTGGAAAGGGAAAGCCTCGAAGAAATTGTAATGAGATTTTGGGAAGAGGTGATCTTTTATTTGATACAACATAAATGAAGATTATATAGCTCAGTAAATTCCTCTCTCGCATCTGCATACAAATTTAGATTTCACATGGACAGCAAGTAACGAAACTCAGATTCATAAGGTTGGATTTCCACCATTTTATGGATAGGAGATTTAGTTTCACCATTTAAACACTCCATTATTGACCTCTTCAAGCTTGCGGAGCGAGGAAGTTGGCTATAAATCCACTCCAACAGCGATTCCATGTCGTCTGCAAAGTCTTTCATGTGCCATTGAAGAAGCTTCGGCACCATTATCTTCTTCTTGCTTGTCATCCCAACTGATGCTTCCAAATACTCCACTTTTGCCAATCCCAACTCATTCACCACTTCCTCTGGGGTATACACCCTTAACTTCATAAAATTTTAACAACTTTTTGTCAATTTTCTTTCAGAGATCCATTGAGGCTCATAAAACATGTAGCAGCATAAAGACACTTACTGCAGGAGATGACCAACTGCCTCGGCAGAGAGCGAATGTCACGTTTGGTTCTGGATATCCTAAGCCATAGGCATGTCGAAGCAGCATTTCCTTCTCATCCACAGGCTTCAAAGAGAACCCGTAATATATTCGATTCGTTACGTTACATTCCATCATCTATATAATTACTGTTATAACTACACGACGATATTGCTTACATATTTTGTTTGACTTGGATGTCGAAGAATGAAATGTTCAATTGCCAGAGCATTGAGAACTATCCCACCAACATTAAGAGCCGCCTGCAGGCCAGAGGATTCACATACGCCTCAGAGAAGTTTAATAAATATGGTAATACTTGTTATGAATTATTTTTGTACATGGGGGTTTGGACATTGGCATATACCTTGTTCATCAAAGCCAAGAGTTTCTCTGTCGTCGATGGCAGCCCGTGTTCGAGAAATGCCTGAAATTTTGTTAAATACAGTTAGTATATTCAAATAGGAGCATGGCTATTATTCATCAGTGTCTTACATGTCTTACAGTACATGCATTATAGAGGAGTTATAAATGTTTATCCAGAATGCTAACTTCTGTTTGTATGTCAAAAAGGTCAAGTCCACACTGCTCAACTTATGAATCAAAATCCTGCGCAAAGAAGGAAGCAAAAGAAAACTTCAAGTTTCAAGTTTCAACTCTGTTTAAATGGTGCGCAATCCGGTTAAACATACTGCCACTTACCTCAACTTTCTGATTGACGTCGAGCAAGCGGGCAACCTGCCGATGTCGAAAGACATTCTCGTGATGTGGATGAGGTTTCTATAAGGGCCAGTGTCCCTCACACTGCCTTCTGAGTCAAGCAGAATACTATAAGGAATGGGATTGGGATTGGGATTGGATGAGCTGTAATCAAAAGACAAGGTGAGTTGGGGTGCTTTGCAACTGAAGCTGGTCTTTGCAATGCAGCGCTTTGAGTTGATACAGGAAAGGCCATGTTTTGGGAGAGTTGGTGAAGATTGGCTGTTGAGTGATGGCTGGTTTAGATCAAGATAAATGCCTATGAGACACTTTAGCAACTGTTCTGAAAGCTCATTTGGTGTCTGAATGCAACTTTCTTTCTCTAATTGGCTCTGTTTTCGGCTTCTCCCCGCATTCTTCCTTGAACCTACATGGTTAAATTTACTTGGGTAATGATCAGACCCTGAAAATGAGAAGTGGGAAAAAGAACAAATGAAATTTCCTTTATAAAGTCGCATGCTTTTTTGAATGCAGAGAGTTGATTACCAGTGGAAGACATGCTAATTTGGATATCAGAAGCAGCACTAGAAGAGAATCTCCTCTCAGTGAGCATTATATCTTTTCTGAGTTCATCAAAATGCTGGGATCTGGATCGCTGCCCATTAAGCACAGACCTGTTATTAATCTCATGTCCATTATTCAACAGCAAATTGTGTTGCCAAAGCCTTGTAAGCCGCTGCTGAATTTCCCATTCCTTGTTCTGTTCCCTCTCTTTGTACAAGTTCAATTTCAGCTCTTCAACCTTTTTTTCTAACCTATCAATCTCTCTCTCCACAACCCCCAATTCTTCCATAAGCAGCTGCACCTGCAGAGAAGAAAGATCAGTAAATAAAAAATTCTCTGTTTTATCTCTATTGGGCAATGAGAAATGGGCCTACCTGAGGTGGTAAAGAGGAAGAAACATGGGGATGGGAAATGAGAGGGCCATGGAGAGCCCAATGCAGAGCCTTGTTGAGTTCTTGCTCGCCATGTAATTCTGCCTGCAACTTCACAACCTGAAGAGAAACCGGATTATTATTAAGGCTTCTGTTTGAAAAAGTGAAAAACGTGGACTAAAAAGGAAAGGAATCACACTTCAGTCTCAAGATCAAGTTTGCGCTGATGCTCTCCTGTTGGCTCCATTAGAAAGTCTTCGAATTTCATTATTTTTGAGTTTGAAAAAACCATATAGAAGAATAAAACTAAAACTGAAACAGGGTACGAAGAGGGGTTTTATTTAAAATGGAGGCTGTGTCGTGGGTGCCATTAAAGGCAAGAGTAAGAGTTGACCAAATATTTGAGTTTCAGAAGAAAAGTTTGAGGAGATGAATGAGAATTTGGGAGAGTTGTTGTGGCGGTGGAAGAATATGAGGGTTGTTTTTGTTTCTTTTTCTAATGGAAATGGACGGTTGACATTACTATGAACATTGGCATTCTCATGCTCTGTGCTGTGAGAAATCAGAATGTGGATTTCATTAATATGAAAGGTGGGGAGGTGAGGGACGTGAAATACATGAACACAAAGACAGCAAATAACTGAATTTTAGGAAAGTGAAACAAAATGTAAATATCAGATACCGCCGTCTGTGGGGATCGAACCCACGACCACGTGGTTAAAAGCCACGCGCTCTACCACTGAGCTAAGACGGCTTTGCTTTCAAAAAAAAGCTTATTGCATATTAGTCCAATTTTGTATTTAATTTTATAATCGCAAAATACAAAAGAATTAAATGAAAAACGCCGTCTGTGGGGATCGAACCCACGACCACGTGGTTAAAAGCCACGCGCTCTACCACTGAGCTAAGACGGCCCTGTTGCTAAAGTATCAACTATATATTATATATATTAAAGAGTATTCAGCCTACCTCCATTATCAATACTATCATCAATACTTTCTTCTTTTTAAAAAGTAGAATTGCATGCTTTCAATATCCATGAATTCAATAATGATAAAACTATATTTTTATTTATGTTTTGGAACAAATTGGAAATGAGAAAAGAAAGTTTCCAAAAGAAACAAAATCGTAAGTAAAATTGAAACTGAAAAATGACGTTACCAAAGAGGCTCTAAAAAACCTACATAATCTCTTAAGATTGAGGAATAATCCCTTCAACTTTGCTTTCTTGTTTCCAATTGAATAATAGCTTTCCTTATCTTTTAATATTAAAAAGTGTTATCTTTGAACCTACTCTTTCTATTGCCTTTATGAATTTGAGGTTTGCATTTAAAAGTTGGAACTTATTGAAACGATCAAATAGCAGGATGGTCTTATTATCTGAACAAAGCAATCGAGATGCCCAACAAATCTTCAACAGGAAGGAAATTCAAGTTGGTTTCAACACAAATTTAACCTTTCCCAGAAAACCAGCACTGTAACTACAAGACCAATTGTGTAGGTTCTATCTTTCTTCTCTGAGCAATTACACATTACAAATATGAAGATTTACAAGCACACAAATGGGGCACACTTTCATGGAAAAAACTTTGCCACCTAGTATTGGCTTTGGTTCCATCCTCCCAATTCTTCTCCATCATATTCATCCACCTATTTCATTTCATCAAACCAAATAAGCAAACTTTCCAAACAAATATTCATGTCATTTTCAGCAACAACATGATAAATTACCTTCTGGGTGAAGCTCACTGCCACTTGAATTTCTCCACAGTAGTTCAGATCAGCACCGACAACGCTGTACTTTTGTGCCCGTAGCTCCGATTCGCCATTTTCGACTCCCACAGCTAATAAATCTTCCACATATATCCTGCAACACAATACTCATTCATTGGGAACTTCTTTCTAATGCAATGTCGMCATCAATAACTCAGTTTTGTGGAAGAAGATCAAAGATCTTACGAGGCTTGGCCAATAAAATCATCAGAAGAGAAGGTGTCATGGTCCATGATTTTGAGGACCAGCTTGAACTCGTCGCCATTTCCGGGATACTCTACTCGGAATGTAAATTTCTCATTCCACACTGGACTTGCTCCTTCATCTACACCATTTCAAATGACACAAAACAGAAATGTCAAGAACAGAACAGGTTCTCGCACCAAAATTCTTCTTTAGAGTATTAAAATTGATTACCATATCAATTTATCATCTATGAGGATGGAAAGAAAAAAGAGAAACGCAAACCTCTGGCAACGCGGCTCTTGCGTTCTTGGCCCTTGTACTGAATCAAAACGTAAGGGTCAATTCGACCTGCAATATGAGAACAAAATCGTTTGCTTAATTACAAAGTGGATCCAATCCAATTCGGAACTCAGTTAATGTTAACAAACGATTGAAAGCAGCTTGATCCTCCGGACCTTCCCATGTAAATTAGTCATAAAAATCGGAAATGGGATCTAGAAAGAATCTGAAGAACACCCAGATGAGAGATAGCTACAATTTCTTCAAAACAAAACACAGGGTTATGAGAATGAACAGGATTACCCAGAAAATCTGTGCCTTTAAGCCCTTTGGCGTTGACCAACTTCACCTCCAATGTTCCAATCGCCATCGCTCTGTCTCTGTCTGTTTCTCTGGAGTGGCTTATATAGATGGGGATGGCCAGCCGCTGCCGCTTGCGAGAGGGCGTCAAAATTGACGACTGCACCAACTACAAGAATCTGCCTCGCGACGCGCGCCCATGTCCAATTGGGAGGCTGCGTGTGGGTTCGGAGAAAGAGAGATTATTTGAACCGCTTCCCATGCCATTAGACGTGTGATTAAAGGAGAAACCTTTTTGTTACAAGCTTCACACGATTCTCATAGTTAATATACAACGACAATACGCAATACCCCTGAGAGAAGAAACCGATTTATCATTCATAGAGGAAAAATGGAATAACCCATTTTGGCATTTTCTTCACTGCACTCTGTTTCTCATCATTCTCTCGGTAGCTAGAATTTGTACATCTCACTAGCCACAAAAAGATACAGCTCCACCCATGTGTGAGTGTTTGTACATATTTTTTAAGATCACCTCTAAAAGTATAAAATTGAGATCTTCATACGCTCTAATACCATTGCAGAAGTACAAAACAATATTGGTTCGAACACAGGACCTCTATACCATCTTAATGATAAACAAATCACCACTCAATCCAAACATTTAATTTCATGAATTTAAGTAATTTAATTCATTTATAGATATCTAATAACTACAGACAAAAATTACATCTTCTGGATTTATAGCTAAACCCAAATAAGAACAAAATCATTACATTCCCATAAACAACTTTTTCTGATAATTACAGCACTGTTCTGTTACATGCAGAAACCCGATGTCATTTCAACTTTTCCACTATATTCAACTCTATATCTTTTTCATTTGGTTAAAGCTTTATGTTTGGAACAAGTTGTTTCAAACTTCTGATGCCTAGTCTTAGTGGAATTCAATCTTATTCTTATCGAGTCAGAACAGGAAACACAAGGAGAAACAGATTCGGGAAAAAATTAAGCAAAGAAACAACTATACAGTGTTTTAGTACAAACATGAGTGTGTTATCCAAACACAATCTTTACCTTTTATTTCATCTCATTTTCTATAGATTGAGTACAGAAGCAGATGGTCTAGGATATGAAATAGCTTTGTTATTTGTGGAGCCACTACTGCTGCCTTGACTATAATTTTTAAGGGGTTCGCTTACAGGGCCCCTTGACCCACCGGTTTCACTGGAATCCTGAAGCTGCTCCAATATTTTCACCACTGCGTTCATGTTCGGCCTTAACTTGGGTACGGTGGATATGCATTGAATGGCAAGTTTAGCTGCTTTCAGCGCTGCTCCCGTAGAATACTGGCCTTCGATACGTGCGTCCATCATTTGGAGAACTCTTCTTTTGCTAGTGAGGTAAGGCTTTGCCCATTCCACTAGGTTGTGTTCTCCAGATGGTCGGTTTTTGTCTATAGCTCGTCTCCCCGATAAGATTTCGAGAAGAACAACTCCAAAACTATATATGTCGCTCTTGGCAGTTAGATGACCTTCAAAAGAAGAGAATGTATCCAGGTTTAGGCATTTTATACCAAGTAGTCATACTTATCATGTTTGTTACTGATCTAGAGTACGACTATTCATAAACTAGAAAGTAAATTTATAGTTGTCTTGTAACCACAAACGCTTTCTACAACGTAATATTCGTCGGTCTAGCATTCATTTTGGAGACAGAACAGAAATAAGTGCTTCTAACTGTATCAGAAAGCAAGCAGTTTTGGCCGAATTTTTGGTTAGATGTTTGGAAATTTCCAATGCATAAGTAGATAGGCTTCTTGCAAAATTTGCCATATATGTTCTCATTCGCTCAAAAGACTGATTTTGGATACCTGTGATCATATATTCAGGAGCTGCATAGCCATACGTTCCCATTACCCTAGTAGAAACATAGCTTCTATCACCTGAAGGTCCATCCTTGGCCAATCCGAAATCAGAGAGCTTCGCATTATAGTTCTGTCATTTCGAAGCTCAAAACAAATGAGATCAAATTTAACAAAAATTTCAGAAACATAGGTTCGAAAAGGATGAATTGTTTCGCATACCGAATCAAGCAAGATATTAGAGCTTTTGAAGTCCCGGTAGATTACTTTCGCTTCATCGCTATGTAGAAAAGCTAGACCTTTAGCGGCACCGAGGGCAACTTTCATTCGGAGGCTCCATGATAGAGGTTGAAAGTTAGAACTCCCTAATTCCCCCAAAAAGTAAAAAGGAAGATCTAAGTCATTCTTGCAATACAACTACATACTTTTAATTTTGTTGTTCGTGCAGTGAGAGTGTTGAAGTAATTGAACAGGTGAAATAAGTGAATAACTTACTCCTAAATAAATGATTTTCCAGGCTACCCCGGGGCATAAACTCATACACGAGAAGTCGATGTTCATCCTCTAAGCAAAAGCCAATCAATCTCACAAGATTAGGATGATGCAGCTGTCCCAGATAGTCAATTTCTGTCTGTAAATTGAGACATCCACAAATTAATCCTACTTTATATTTGGAACTGAAATACAAAGGTATCATCATCCTTTCCAAACTCAAAGCTATAATTTGCTATCATATCTGATAACTAGCTCGAAGTACAAAATATGACAAATCAAACCATCTACAATGGGCAATAAAACGATACTAACCAGCCATTCTCTGTGACCCTGGAAACCTTCCTGGTTCAGCCTTTTTACTGCAATGACCAAGCCAGTCCCAGGCTTGGTAGCTGCAAAGGACTGCTCATCAATCCACCCCTTAAAGACAGAACCGAAACCGCCCTCTCCCAGGACACTATCTGGCCGGAAGTTTCGGGTGGCAGTTTTAAGCTCATTGTAGGTAAAGTTTTTCAAGTTGGAGGACTGCAAGATCTCGCCCTCTGTTCGAGGAGTCCGAGGGGTCGAGGCAGACAAGGAATTGCTGGTTGAACTGCCTTTATCGTTTCCATCTTTGCTTGCATATTTCGAGTTCAACCCTGTCCAGGCGTTACATACAACTCTTATTACAAAAGCAGAAGCAAAGAGTCATTCGTTGGCAGCTAACACGAAAATTGATGCTTCACAAGGTTTCTTGTTTTAGTTTTGAAGTTGATTTGAAATTTAAGAAAAAGATTTCCTCATCAGAGAAGACATAATCAGTAATACTCAGTACAAAATCAACCAAATGCCTGCTTCAGTTTTCCCACCAGACACATATGGAAGGAAAATCCTAAAAGTAGAAACTTTTTACAAACCCGCATCTTCTAACAAAGTAACCCTTTGTTTGACATGAACTGGACAAAAAGATTCCAAAATTGGTCTCTCCAATCCAACCGTTTTATCAATCAAAGATAACACAAATCACAATCTAAATCAGAGACAACCCAATAACCAACCATGCGAAATATATCAAAGTAGCAAATAAGAGCAGAAATTAGAAAACCTAAAAGTAAATGCAAGGTTAAAGAAGAGGTTGAAACCATTGTGAAGAGGGCTCTCAGCTTTAATCCTAGCACTGAGGCAGGACCCCATCAACCGTATGCTCAAAGGAAAGCTCTCGCCCGAGACAGAGCAGCTCCACAGCTGAAAAAAATAGGAATAGGAGCAGAAGGGGAGAGAAATGAGCGAAAAGGGGGGCTGCCCAGCCTAGCCTTAGCCCTTAGCCCGTGAATGGGAACTGGTTCTGTGTTTGCAAGTGTGAAAGGTAGAGGCTTTTCCTTGACCAAGCTGTCAAACAATCCCCATTTGAATTCAATTTTCAAAAGGAGAAGGAAGAAACTTCTGGGGGGTTGAAAACTTGGAAAGAAAGGCTTCAAGTTAACTATACATTTTGGAAGTATGCGCGTGGCTTGGTTTCTTGTTTGGGGTTTTATGGGGAAACAGCTTTATTCGTTCCTATCAAGAAAAGAGGGGGGGAAAAAAGAGAGTGTTAAAAGGGTTGACTTGGCCAAGCTCTACAACTACAACTACAACTACAACTACAACTACATACACTCACACTCTCCATCAGCAGCAAGTGGGAACGGCTAGATTCAGAATTGGCATTAATTTCCCCAAAGCTGTGGGCTGCTCTCTATTCTCTAATAGTTTTATTTGGGTTTCAAGTCAATAATTGAAAGATTTTGACACAATTCGCCCTTTCCCTTGCATCTAAAAAACTATCTTTGTTGGCTTCTCTTTAGACAAAAAGTTCGTTTGTTTTTACTACCAAGTACCAAGTTGCTCTCCCCTTTTGGAATATACATGATGAACTAAGCTCTGTATGAAAATTACGTTTAGATACAGTTCTGTAGTTTTTAAAAATATATCAAATTTGCTTTCTTACATAAATCTAAACAGTTTTTCTTAAGTAGCTTTCGTTGTTTGCAAGGTATTTACTTTATTTTGACAATATGAGTCAACGTTTACCTAAATTAGAATTAGAATTGGTATATATATTGCAATATTTACCTTATATTAAGATTTTGTTAAAATCTTTTTACTAATTTCAACCAAAGGCAATGTAAGAATCTCTCAAAATCTAAAGATTTCAAACTAAAATAAAGATCTATTTTCAAAAAAAAAAAAACTAAAATAAAGATCTAACAAATTGATGCACAAAATAAACTATTTAATAAACATCATAAAACTCACCCCAACTAATTTAAACAAAAAAATCTAACCTGATATCATAACTTTTTTTAAGTCCCATCAATTTCATATCAGGCTTCTATTTGCAATCCATTAAATGGCCTAACAAAACGTAAAATTGGACAAAAATAAAATTATTAAAAAATTTTGAGAAACCTTACCAAGTTAAAGAATAAATATGGAACCTCCTCTCTTTTTTAATGTTGAAATTTCGAACTAATTGAGATAGCAATAAAATAAAAATACAAGAAAAATATATATTCTTCAAACAAATTTTTTTTAAATGATAAAAAATAGTTTTTGTTTTTTGTTTTTTTTAGAACTTTGAATTGTTAATTTATAAAACAATCTTACCCTTCATAAAATAAAAAACACTAAAACAGGATGGAGACTGGCGAGCCCCTAAAATTAATAACATTAATTTATTAGTCCGAATTTATGATTTCTGCATTTTAAAATAATATTACACATGACCAATTGCTGTTTTTATTTTTTATTTTTCGGCCGGCAATGTTGACCAGTTGACCTCTTACCTGTCATGTGGGCTACAGCAGTTAATTTGTCCCGCCGAAAGCCATTAAAATATATATATATATACAATTTTTTTTAGTACTAAAAATATATATATAATTACGTAATAAAGTATTTATATTTCTCTTTCCATTATCCAACAGTTCTTTTTTTAGTAAAAATATATTTTTATATTCTAATACACATGATAAGCGATATAAAATTATTATCTTAATCAGGTCGAGAATCATAAATTAATTATGTTAATTTGTTAATGTGATGTAAGTTGTAACACATGGTGAAATTATATATCAATATAATATGACAGATCTAGTCAACAAATTATTTAAAAAATAATTGAAATTGTTCAAGTTGAAAAATAAATCAAACAATTAAATCGTCACTATAAATATAGATTTATTCTTTTTAGTCATTGAAATAATTGAAAGTCGAGGAATTTATGTATTTCTATATTATAGTACAATAAAATTTAAAAATACCCGTGATTGAAAAATGTAATATATTTTAGTATGGTGGAGCGAAATGTGGAATCTCTCGTGATAACATCACTTTTTTCCAAACAAAAGCTTTGGTTTTGACTTTTCACAAGTATGATGAATAAACTTGACGTTACCATGTGTTGACTTTTTTATTAAATCTAATTTATATATTTTTCCCTATTTTCTTTAGTTATTTGTTGAAAATTCAACAACCAACCATCTTCAGTTTTGTGCTCATTCATGATCTTGACTTCTGAGAAATGGATATTTTTCAAAATCATAAGAAGTATCGTATTTTGAAATATCTTGAAATTAGGCCAAAACACTGCCAAAGAGTTGTTGTTCGTTATTATTTTTTAGGTTTCATTGCATATTTTCATTTCTTTTCAATGATTAGAAGTTGAAATTTTGTGGGTTTGGATAAATTGGGTCTTCAGACGGTTTCTTTAACAAATTATTAGTATGGGATAATTTTTTGCAACTCTAACCTTTTACATTTGTTTGAAATATAAGTTTTTTTTTTACTACGACATATGACAGGTGAAAATTCGAATTCATGATCTTTTAATTGAATATAGGTAGATGGATCAATTTAGCATTGACAAATACAAAATTAAATTAAAAATACAAATTAATACTACATATAAGTTTTAAATTTTACAAAAAATACAAAATTAAATTAAAATTTGTTTAAGCTTATCAGACCATTAAGAACCGATCAGAGCTCTATTAAGTAACATTAATACGTATTAATTGGCCAGCCTGCATGTCTCTTTTTAGAAGTTAGACATTTTTGTAATATTCTTGGAAATTGAACATGTTTCTCTTTTTGTTTTGTATATATGCAATAATAATAAATTTAATATTAATTTATCTGAAACTTTTGTGAGAACTTTATAGTTCATTGTGTTTTAATTAATTAAGTAAACTCTTAAAAGGTTCGTACTTTATCTCAAAAATTAAAAAATAATGAGTTAAATGGATTGGTGAAAGAAAAATATACAGCAAGCTGTTGGAGGTGATTTCTCACCGGCCATGTGTCGATATACGATGCAACAACAATGATAAATCAGCATGGAGATTCACACGTGGGAGTAACTATACCGTGAAGTAACTAATACACCTCAGACCTCAAATCTCCTCAAGAGGTCGAGTCGATCTATTGAACACGGTTGTCGCAAGTCATGAATAAGACAAACCAACCTAAGTCTCATATACCTCAGTCACTTGAGATACCACCTGAGTCAAACCCAATGTCGGAGTGCTTATAATTACTCTCTTCCGTAGGTCCCCTAATTACTATACCACTTTGTTTGAGGAGTTAGTCAAAATTGATCAAATTCTTTTTATCCAACTCAAGTTATGTTTGTAAAAACACGACATGAGACAAGAGATTAAACTTTTTGAAAAGATTTTAAAGATATTTAAATTTATCTTTTACCCTTGACACACTTGTGTCTACAAAAGTTGACCTTAAAATTCTTATTTCATAGAATTAAATATGAAATTTAAATAAATAGTAAAATTATTTTTTTTCATTAACTGAAATTCATTTTAAAGATTTAGGGCAAAATTTATGGATTTTTGTGGTCTTGAATGAGGATATATTTTGAGTGATTCAATTTGCTAGTGTTGTGATATCGCAAATCGATAGAAAGGATGTAAGAAATACGAGTTGGAAATATTCTCTATTATATATTATTGATAAGAAGAAATACAAGTTTCCACCCAAATATTCTCTTATTATTATAATTTTTTTTTAATAAAAAGGAAAGCAAAACATTACAGAAGCTCCTCCAAGTATTCCATTTCTAAACCGCTCTTCAACTACAGTGACCAATACTCCATCCAGATCGAAAATTCATGAAGAAGGAGAACCCATCGAGCCAACAAGTGAGCCGCTTTATTACCCTCCCTCTTCACGAAATTGAAACTTGCATGTAAAGTTTAAGTCCAGAAACTCTTCGCCTTCAAAACGATTTCTTCCGTTTTCGATAGGTCCTTCGAAGATTGAGAGAAAAGATTGAAAATAGGAGATGAATCCGTCTCTGAAAGCTAGGATTTATGGCTCTATTATTATAATTAACAGTGATTTAATTTGAACTCATCCGGCCTCTCTCTCTCCCCTCTCTCTCTCCATATATAAATTTTGACTAACATTTAGAAACTTTTTAAAATATTGGAACAAAATTACTTGACTCTAAAAGCCTAAATAGATCACCAAATTTGTGTGATTGAATCTAAAATGAAAGAAAGTAAAAAGAAAATCAATAAAAAAAATCCTTCAGTCATCTCACCATTTTTAGATTGATTTGTCTTCGGTTCCATTATGAAGACAATTTGGCGTTGTTGGGTCCTGTACTAAAAGATTGTACAGTTACTAAAAACTTCTTAAACTATATAAATCATAGATACAAATCTTGAAAAAATTCAAAGACGTAATAATATTTAGAAACTTTTTGAAATATCACGACAAAATAGACATATATATATATATAAGTCAAAAAAGCGGGTGTGATTGAACCTAATCTGAAAGAAAGTAAAATGTACTTGGAAAAACAACAGGGAGGCCGTGTTGAAAAGCAAAAAAGGGATCGGAAGTAGAAAAACCTCAACAAAAAACACATTGTGAAAAGATACTATTAGGTAAGGTAGAGACGAAATTGCATATGCTCCAAAATTAAACACATTAATTCCTTCACATTTACATGATCAATATGTCTCACGTTTACGTTTTGAACCCAAATTAACGAAATGCAGAATTAATAATAATTGTTTCTGCCTTTCTTTCCTCATAATGGGCTGAACTTAACCAAAATCCTGTGCCTTGGCTGGCTGGCTTCTTCTTCTTCTTCTTCTTCACTTATTCAAAATCCTGAAGTTGCTCCAATTCCATCACCACTTCATCCATGGAAGGCCTGCGTTTGGGGTCTTCCGAGAGGCACTTTAAAGCAAGCTTTGCTGCTGTAAATGCCTTCTTTACACAGTACTGCCCCTCAATTCTGCCGTCCATAATTCTCAAAACTTGCCGTCTGCTGCTCACATAAGGCCTCGCCCACTCCACTAGATTCTGTTCTCTCGGTGGCCTTGTTGAATCTAGCGCTCGTCTCCCACATAAAATCTCCAGTAGAACAGCCCCGAAACTGTACACGTCGCTCTTCGCCTTTAGATGACCTTCCAAATTCACCAAATTCAAGTTCAGAATTACATGTTTTTAGTCCTTAACTTTTAATTTTGTGTGTTGATACTTACCTGTGGCCATATATTCAGGAGCCGCGTAGCCATAGGTACCCATGCACCGGGTCGAAACATGGCTTTGATTCCCCTCTGGCCCGTCCTTGGCCAATCCAAAATCTGAGATTTTAGCCTCGTAATTCTGTAATAATTAGTTGAGAACATATTATTAGAGAATTAATTAAGAAGTTGAGTGTGTAACAATTAAAGTACATAAATTTGCATTGCATATTATATAATTATACCGCATCAAGAAGAATGTTTGAGGATTTGAAATCACGATGGATAACTTTTTCACCATGTAAATACTCCAAACCCCTCCCAGCGTCCAGTGCGATCTTCATACGCAGCTTCCATGACAATGGTTGAGACCCAGATCCTCCTGAAAAATTAAATATTTATTCACTCTCAATTTATCACATTTTGTAATTTCATAAAACCCCCAATAAATAAATAACTTTGAAATTTTTACTAAACTCACTTCCAAAAAGGTGATTGTCCAAACTACCCCGCGACATGAACTCATAGACCAGAAGCTGGTGCTCATTCTCCAAGCAATAACCAATAAGTTTCACCAAATTAGGATGATGCAGCTGCCCCAGATAGTTAATTTCTGCCTTTAAATTCCAACAATACCCCACATGTTAACTTATAGAATAAAATTAAAACTATGATATATAAGTAAAAAGACAACATTTCAATCGATACGAACCAACCATTCGTTGTGGCCTTGCATACCATCTTGGTTGTGGCGCTTAACGGCAATGGAGATGCCGGTGCCGGGCTTGGTGGCGGTGAGGGAGTGGGGGTCGATCCAGCCCTTGAACACGCTCCCGAAACCACCCTCGCCCACCATGCTCCGCTGCCGGAAATTGCCCGTCGCCTTCTTCAGTTCGTTAAAGCAGAACCTCCCCAGATTTGAGGACTGCAAAATCTCGTCCTCGGTTCGTGGACTTGGATGAACCGACGCCGACGAGCTCGTTGCTCCTGCAGAACGGATTTGGCTTCCATTTTCAGCCCCAATAGTGCTTACGCAAGACCCCATTAATGGAATAAAATACCTGATCAGAAACACAAACCCAATGAACCAAAGAGAGTATAATTCTGTGGATTTATAGTATCAACATTCTTCAAATTCGTGTAAAGCGTTGAAAAAATTGCCAAAAAGGTACACTGGGGGTTGACTTGACTCTTAATTGGCAAATTATATTTTTAAGGATTATTGTGGGTTCTTAGCTGTGTGTAGTCTGCACAAAATCGTACCCACAAAACAAAATCTTAGATTTTTCATTGTGATAAGCAATACCAATAGAAATTTATCAAGTAAATTTTGCAATTGCCACGTGGGTCGGTGAACAAAAACTTCAACCACCTAAATTAAGCTAATTATGAAATTTTTAGGAGGGTTCCATGAAGTTGTGAGGAAGGAGAGCCTTCACAAAGTAATATGAATGAGTTCATACCCCCAAATTTAATCTAATTTCGCTTTCGGTGAAATCTAATATAGTGATCAATCTTATAAATTTTGTTACATAGTGAAATTATACCTACTTTTTCGTGCACTCCCTTTGAAAAGAAAAAAAAAAATTATCCATTCTGTTATAATTAAAGAAAATAGAATGGAAAGTGTATTGAAGATTGTAATTATTTTGTAGAGATTTGATTATCTTGAATTTCTAGTTTTTGTGGAAGTGGAACATATAATGGATATGTGACTAAAGTACATCCATTTCGGATATGCTTTCCCTTTACCAATATACCAATCATCATCAATATTGCAAGTTGTAACCTATCAATTCTCAGAAAACGGAAAAAAGAAAAAAGAGTTGCCACCTATTTAATCTTACTCTGAGTTCATAGTGCTTTTAGTTTATATTTGGTCTGTCATCCGCTCTTTGAACACGTTGTTTCTCTTTTTTTCACCTCCAAATCCAAAATTATATATTGGTCCTCGATCTTAAAATTTATATTGGTGGGAGAAAAATGTGTTTGAAGAGGGAGTTTAGTGAAAAATGAGGGAGAATTTTGTGTCCAAACAGTTTGAAAATTTTGGACAGGGAATAATTGGGGAGATATAAAATGCATTATTGATTAATAAGAAGTCGAAGATGAGGTGTTTGAATAATTAAAAAAAAAACACTGATAAAACATCTATGAATTATTGCTTTTTTAAAGAAAAAAAAAATACTATGTGAAAATTCTACGGTGTTATTTCATATCGGAGTGGCCATCTACATAGAGCAAGATCCTGCCATAAAAAATTGTGATTATCAAAATATTGAAATAAAAAAAATTTCACTCTTGACAGTGATATATGTTGTATATGTAAATCCTAGATGTGAAAATATGCGGAATTCCTATGAAAAAAAAAAAAAGAAAGGGTATAGGTAGANATATTAAATGAATGGAATTGGGATATGGATGGAATATAATGAAATAGAGCCACTTTGAGGTTCTCTATGAAATGAGGCATGGAACGGAGCCACTATGAAGAAGTTCTGGGAGTTACGAAGGAAACCTCGAGCTCATATTGGTCATGGGTTGAGAACGAGAATTGAATTCTATGAGAAATAATTTCCCGTTGTTCCTCAGTAGCTCAGTGGTGGAGCGGTCGGCTGTTAATTGATTGGTCGTAGGTTCGAATCTTACCTCACTACAACCCCCTTTGTGAGTTGGCACCCCTTCTCCCGAAGTTACTATTTTGTCGAGTTCCTTGGAGAGAGTTTCTAATTTAATTCTGTACAATATTTTATCTTAAAAAAAACACATTCCCCTAATGTAATTAGGTCATAAACCACTACAGCCTAAGTTGAACTTCTAAATTAACATAATTAATTGCACATTAAGCTTCATGAATGGCTGGAAAATCGCTTTTGATTACTTAGAAACGACACGACTTGATAAAAAATATATTTTTCCTTGACACTGGAACTTTTGACCCAATTATTCTTATAATTAGTTAATATCTTATTTTAGAAATTGTAATTTTAAAAAGAACTTAGCTTAGTGCTGACCATAATTAATTTGAACAACCGGCAGTTCCTCTTTATATTTTCAAAAACACACTCATAAACAAACCAAATTGGATTTGGTAAAACCTTTTATTATCATATATAGGTTAGATTTAGATTAGATTATATTATATTGGAACTTTGAACAATCTTATTCCACCCTCTTAAAATCTCCTCAGCAACGCAAACCAACTTTCTCCACCAAAAAGAATATTTAGGGAGGGGGAAAGAAATAGATAAAGATATTATTTGATTAGATTTTACATGTTAAAATATAGTATTCAAAATTCATTATTAAAATCTATGAATATAATGTGTATAAATTTTGTTGTATAAAATATAATAAAAATAAGAAATTAATGAAATGAATCCATGTGAATCTGAATCAAAACGAAGTGTTATTTTTCTTGAAAAATTTTGTTTTTCCTCCATGGTCTCTTGAAAGATAGATCCGACGAAGTCAATAACATGACATGGATCTAGTACTAAAAAGAAAGGATAAAAAAATTTTGAAAGACAAAATTTATTTTTTAAATGTGAGAAATAAACTACATATTTAAACAATATATCTTTGATCAAAGACGTATACCTTTTCTTATAAAATTTGAAAAAAAAATATTCAACATGACTATTAATAATGAAGGTAAATTTCAAATGCTATGTATCACCGTTCATTAATACAAATAATTAATTTATGGGTTATATAGTGAAGTTGGTCTTAAAAAAGTGGAAGACAACCAAACTTTTAATTACGTTTAAGGTACACCAATTATCTTTGAGATTTGTGCAAACTAGCTCATAAAATTGCAAAAGTCAGATATATATATATTTATTTATTTTTTCCTTTTGTTTTCTTTTTTCTTTTAAAGATTATGATTGTGTCTTTAAGTTTTATGCATGCTTTTAGCAAATAGCATTGAGAGAGAAAAAAACAATGCAACTTTTTGTGATTTTCGGAGGAATTATATTTCGTGACTAAATAAATTTGTGTTGATATTTGAGATTCATACAATCTCTAATATTTATCCGACTTGTTGATCTTGATCGACCTATTGACGGTTTGTTTGTCTTGATCGACCTATTGACAGCTTGTTGATCTTATTAGGTGAATGAATCCCTCTATTTGTAGAGTTTTTTATGGGGTTTAGGTGGGCTTGGATCCATATAAGACATGACAAATTTTGATTGGATCAATTTATATGTCATATGTGGTCAATCTTATTAGATCAACTTATATCATCACATGGTTATAATATAATTTGATGGTTCCAATTCAAATGCCCAAAGATAATACGTGACATTATTTAATTGGCCTCAATTTAATGACATATAATTTTATTATTATAATTACGTGATAATTTGTGATTCGCGGAAATTTATCGCCAACACTTTTTATTTTATTATTATTTTTATTTTTTAAATGAAAAGAAAAAGCAAGTTTTACAAAGCTTTTTCTTAGAAACCAAGGATATAGAATAAATTCTAATGGGAGTTGGGGCCCACCCTAATTATTAGTCGTTTTTCCAATGTGAAAAAAGAGATTTTCTCAGGCTGAAAAACAAAAGTATAGAAGACGAGAAAGTTAATTTTCTAAAAAGAAAATGTGAATTTAAGAATAAATTAGAAAGAAAAAAAATAGGCTATTTCTTTTCCTTTTTCCTGTAAAAGAGAGGGTTTTTTGCCCTTTTTGTCCGGCATGAGCTAAATTTGTCCACCATAAAACGACATTTTCCCAATTATTGACAAAACATTACTAAATCACTAATTAGAAAACACATGTAGGACAATAATCATATCATAATATTCTCTCTCTCAATTTTTATAACACCACGACCATTTTTCTTATCAAACAAAGGAAATATTACCAAAATTCTCATTTAAAAAAGTATTATAAAAGAGAAAATTCAATAAAAAAAATGGGTAGAATGAAATTATTTGATTATATTATTGTGAAGCCCAACTAAGAAGGAAGAGTATATGAATGAACCGATATCACATCTAATCCTGAGATCATGGAAGAATGATTAAGAAAATGTTTAAAATAATTGATAGTCATTACCTAATGTAGTGCACTTTTCTCTTCGGTGGCTCAATCGTAAAAACTCAAAAGTTAAGCATGCTTGGCTTTGGGTGTCGCAGAGGAATGTCGAGGCGATTAGGGCCAAATCCTTTTTTTAACTGATTCTCTGTGTATCAATGGGGTCGACAAAATCTAAAATATCTTATAAATATAATGTAAAACCCATTCGTGGGTTTGGTGGTGTGAAAGTCGAATGAAAAAGATATTATTTCATTGGGTGCATCTCATGTGTAACACAATTTGTACCCTAAATTATTGTTATTTTTTAGTACGTTATTGAAAAATAGGTTCCTTGGTCGGCGATCATTCGCTCTTCTTTTTCTATTCTATATATATTTTCATAGAGAGAGATGTCAAAGTCATGGAAAATAATGGACCAATAGGGTGAGAGAAAAAAGAGCCTAACACGTAACTAATATCTTGACCGTGTTACATATGTGGATTGCTTTTCATTACATTTTGTCTTATTTTAATTCGAGTCTTCAAGCTTTTTTTCATTATTTTTTCCTTATCGGTTGTTCCTAAATTTTTATTGAACTTTGTATTTGATACTTATCATTTTGGCTAGATACATTATTAACATACTTTTTTAAAAATAAAGCTACAGTTATGATATTAATCTATTTTACATCTTTATGCTCCTATACTGGATATGTGCACTGTCTCCATATCCATATATATTGGTAGTTTTAGTGTTTCAAATTATCTATAGCGTAGAGCTTAGAAACAAGAATTCAATACTTTTTGAATCACTCGAATCGGAGTTCGAATGGATACGTTATGACCAAAACAAATTTAGGAAGAAAACACATGTGACAGGTGACGTGGATAGTCCGACCAATTAGAACTGATATGTGGTAAGTAACGTGGCATTTGCTGATATGGCCGATGACATTTCAGGTGACCTGACATTTTGCTGATATGACAAATGTCGAGTGGTATTTAACAAATCAAATTATGGTGACATGGTAGTGATGT